CTCCCAACTCCTGGGCTCAGATGAGTCTCCTGCCTCTGCCTCCCAAGTAGCTGGGACCACAGGCACCCGTCACAACACCTGGCTATTTTGGGGTTGCAGCCGTCATTGTTGTTTGGCGGGCCAGGGCTGGATTCGAACCTGCCACCTTAGGTGTATGCGGCTGGCGCCTTAGCCACTTGAGCCACAGGCGCCAAGCCCACACGTGTTATCTTTAACATAATAATTTCATTTATGTATTCAACAAATATTTGTTTAAGCATTTGGAATGTATCAGTGACCTGACTGTATAAACAGATAAAAACAAAAGCCCTGATCTCAAACAACTTACATTCCAGCATAGTAGGACAGTCAGTACACAATAAATATGATAAATAAGTAAATTTTATTTGTTGAATAAATAAATGGATTTATATTGGGGCACTTGTCCAAATACTTCTGTAGTACAAACTTCCAGAAATGGAATTGTTGAGGCAAAGAATATGCACATTTTAATTTTTAGTACAGTATAGTCAAATTGCTTATCAACAACCAGCAGGATAACTGGTTTCCACATTTTTACACTCACATATATTCACACATAAATATTTGTCACAGGAGTACTGTCTTTTCTGAGTCTGGCCTTTAACAATCTGAGAGAATGTCTTTCTTTTACCTTTTATGAAACAATGTTAAGAGTAAAATGGTGGTATTTTTCATTAATGTTCTTTCTTACTAGAAAAAACACTGCGTTTTTTGGAAGATGGAAATGGTTTTGGTTTTTTAAATCATAAAGTATGATAACCACTGGCTTGGAATACTCAATATTATCATGATTTTCTTTTCATAACTAAACTGGATTTTAAAAATTAAAACTACTTAATCATATCAAGAAAATTAATACCATTAAAGTATTAGACATTTGTGAAAATTTATCCAGGAAAAAAATATATATATACAGAGAGGGCCCCAAAAATGTATACACATTTTTAAAAAGGGGAAAACTGTGTTAAAATTGTAATATTCAACATATACCAATAACAAAACATGAATACAAGTCATGTTTGACTTCTGTAATTTCTTTTTTTTTTTTTTTTTTTTTTTTTTTTGAGACAGAGCCTCAAGCTGTCCCCCTGGGTAGAGTGTCGTGGCATTACAGCTCACAGCAACCTCCAACTCCTGGGCTCAAGGCAAGTCTCCTGCCTCTGCCTCCCAAGTAGCTGGGACCACAGGCGCCCGCCACAACGCCCGGATTTTTTTTGGTTGCAGCCGTCATTGTTGTTTGGCGGGTCCGGGCTGGGGATTCGAACCCACCACCTTAGGTGTACGTGGCTGGCGCCTTAGCCGGTTGAGCTATAGGAGCCGAGCCGACTTCTGTAATTTCAAGAAGTGTTCAAAGTTGGGTGGCGCCTGTGGCTCAAGTGGCTAAGGCGCCAGCCACATATACCAGGGCTGGAGGGTTCGAATGGAGCCCGGGCCTGCCAAACAACAATGACAACTACAACCAAAAAATAGCCCTGCGTTGTGGCAGCTACGTTGTGGCAGCTCCCAAGTCCCAGCTACTTGGGAGGCGGTGGCAGGAGAAACGCTTGAGTCCAGGAGTTGGAGGTTGCTGTGAGCTGTGACACCACAGCACTCTACTGAGGGCAATAAGGTGAGACTCTGTCTCTAAAAATAATAATAAAAAAACTAAATATCTCGGCCAGGCACTTGGGGGCAGGGCCTGGCCGGCTGGGATCCGGGAGCGGAAAGCTGGGCCCCCGCCTTGCGGAGAGAAAGGTGAGGGACAGCCGCCTGCTGCCAGACAATGCTGAGCGGTGCATGCCGTAGACTCACCTTGGCCCTGCTGGGGACACGCCCAAAGAGGTCTGTGGTCGCCCATAGGTGCTTGCACGCGTCGGGGTCGCAGCCCTCGGCAGACAGGAGGGAAAAGGCAGAGGAGCCGCCTTGTGGCTTCCACCAGGTGCTGCTGGAGTTCCTGGTGTGCCTGCCCTCCAAGAAGCCGCTCAGATACGAAGCATCAACAAACGAATCGATGAATGAAGAGCTGGGAATAGCCTATCCAATCATTGATAGAATTCCTAATATGATACCACAGGCAGCTAGGATGACACATCAAACTAAGAAGCAAGAAAAACAGCACTAGGTTATAATTTTTTAAAAAGCCACCACAACTACATTTTCTTAATACCATATACCTTTTAAAGCACAGTGGTGGGTAATAAGTGGAGGAGAAGAATGTTTCTGTCTCTTCCTACACTGACTGTTCTTATTCCACTGGTCTCTTTAGCAGGACAACTCCACTCAGCCTCTGTGGAAGAAGACTTCCCACGTGGCTGCACTAGCACAGCCAGTCTTTGCTTTGACAGTCTGCTCCTGCCAATCACCATACTGGTGTACCTGTCCTTTCACCTTTGGACTTGGATGGGTATTAAACTCTTCTGGCATAATTAATGCAACCAGAGCCAAGATGGTCTATTTATATATTGACATGTCTTGGGCTTCTATCTTTGAAAGTTGAACTGAGTGGAAATACTGGAGACCCATTTAGTTTTCAGGACAGATGCTTTTGCCTTGCTTATGTCAGGCTTAGGACTATGGTAGGCTTAAGCTGCACAAGCGTCTTTTATTATACCCTTGTTCTGCCTTTGTTTTCTGAAGGTTCTGACTTAATAACTCCTGTGTCAGGAGAAACATTTTGGCAGTGTCTTGTTGGACATTAACACATCTGATAACTAGTTCTTATTCATCTATTATTTAATCATTTGAAATTTTGCTTGTATAGCTTCAAGGTATTAGGTAAAGTCACCAGTAGGGAACACTGAAATAATTCCAAAGGAGCTATGTTGGAATGGTTGTAGAGAAATGTGTTTGCACTATTGTGATACAAAACCATAAAATAAAATGGAAATTTCATGTCCTTAGAAAAATTAGGAGGTTGTAAAATTTCCTTCATTTCTTTGGCATCCAGTGCTTACATTAATAATAAAGTAAGATGTTGACACTTTTCCATAAAAAATAAACTAGTTGGCAGTAAAAAAATAAATAAACAAATATCTCGCCCAGGCGTGGTGTCTCATGCCTATAATCCTAGCACTCTGGGAGGCTGAGGCAGGTGGATCACCTGAACTTACGGGTTCAAGACCAGCCTGAACAAGAGCAAGACCCCTGTCTCTAAAAATAGCAGGCATTGTTGCAGATGTCTGTAGTCCCAGCTACTCGGGAGGTTTAGTCAGGAGAATCACCCAAACCCCAAGCATTTGAGGTTGCTGTGAGCTATGATGCCGCAGCACCCTACTAAGGGTGACAACATGAAACTGTCTCAGAAAACAAAAACTAAATATCTCTAAATGACTTCTCTTCTGGATAACATGTGTAAATCTTTTTGATTGCTGCAAAAACTAGGATAACAAGATTGTAATGCTTAAATGTCTAAATTGTCTACCTTTTAACAATTCCAATAGATTTAGGGGTTACAAGAGGAGTTTTATTTAACGGATATAATGTGTAGTGGTAAAGTCTGAGCTTCCAGTGTACCCAATAGGAAATTTTTCGTCCCTCACCCCCTTCCCAACCTAAATTGTCTAAATTATCTAAAAGATTAACTTTTGGTCCCAGAGCAAAGAAAACAAAAAGTAGGCCTCCTTCCTTCCAAGAGTATAAATTTGTAGTTGATAAGAATTGGCGAGGTCTTTTTATCACCTTGGATAAGAATGTTTTTTAAGTCTGGAATTCTTAGATAAAGAAATCTGAAAGGTATTCTTATCTAAAAGAGGCAGAAGAAGATAGGAAATTATTGCTTGTGACATTTACTCTGTAGTTAACCTCTTTTGAGTTTTTTTTTTTTTTTTTTTGAGACAGAATCTCAAGGTGTCACCCTGGGTAGAGTATGCCATGGCGCCACAGTCAAACTCTTGGGCTCAAGTGATTCTCTTGCCTCAGTTTTTCTATTTTTAGTAGAGGCAGGTGTCTTAATTTTGCTCAGGGTGGTCTCAAATTCGTCAACTCAAGGAATCCACCCGCCTCAGCCTCCCAGAATGCTAGGATTACAGGCGTGAACCACCGTGCCCAGCCAGCTCTTTGAAATTTAGGATCTCCAAGTTTATCTTTACTATTTCAAAACTAGTAGCAGAATTTACAAGAGTTCAAGAAGACAAAAAAAAAAGCAAAAATTAAAACAAATTTACCTATTCTTTCTGAATACTTATGACTTGGTTAGAGATAAGAGTATGAAGTATGCATTATGTATGCCTTAATGATTTAAGAATTATTTAATTAATTTATTTATTTATCAGATAATTGTGACTAGTCAACTCTAGGCAATGCACTTGGTCGGCATTTTTCTTTCTTTTTTTTTTTTGAGACAGAGCCTCAAGCTGTCACCCTGATAGAGTGCCGTGATATCCCAGTTCATAATAATCTCAAACTCTTGGGCTCAAGCGATTCTCTTGCCTCAGCCTCCCAAGTAGCTGGAACTACAGGTGCCGACCACAACACCCAGCCATTTTTTGGTTGTAGTTGTCATTGTTGTTTGGCAGGCCTGGGTTGGATTAGAACCTGCTAGCTCAGGTATATGTGGCTGGCGCCTTAGCCGCTGAGCTACAGGTACCGAGTCTATGTCTTAGTTTTAAACAAAAAAGTTTAAGAAATAATGAACAGTAAAATAAATTTTGTGAGTCTT